TTATTTATTTAACATTTACTCTAGACTAATCACATGCATTGAATGTTTGTTTTTTTTCTGCATTGAATGTTGTATCCTGAGCTGAGCTGTGGTTGTTTGATTTCCATTATTTCAAGCCAATTTAAACTGCATAAATCTGCTCTAATCCAGTTTTTAAAACTTTATAACCACAAGTCTTACGTGGAAGTAATGCAATGTAAATCAGTGGTAGGTAGGATGATCTGTTGTAAATTTTCGCCGTGCACAACGGGAAATGGACACAAAAAAGAAAAGAAGATTCCTTACAACTCACACCTTGTTCTTGGTTTTGTTCAAAATTTGCAAAGAAGGTGTTTTTAGTACAATTCTGTTTAAATAAAAGATGAAAACATGACGTTTGGCAGCATGAGACGGGACACACAAAAAGAAAAAGTGTTTGCTCGCTTCTCTTCCTCCAAACCAATCAGACCAAAAATAAAAAGTAATTAAAAAAAATAACACAACCAGGATGTATTATTTATTTTGGTAACTTTATTTGACAGCAGCAGAGACTGAGAACAGAACTGCTCGTTCACAGAGAACAAGCTTGAATTGAAAAACCTTGTTAAGCTGTTTTTAGTTTGTTTGTTTTTCAACTGAACTGGAAGTCACGATGTGCCACAACTAAAGCATGTACTCCTGTTTCCTGTTCTGCTGCCGGGTTTTGAGACTTGTACAGTGTTAGAGGTTTTGTGAGTAGAGAGGAAGGCTGGAGTGTTCCTGCATGACAGCAGCCTGATTGTGAAACCGTAAACCTGACTGGACTGTTACTCGAGGTTTTGTTCTTATGAATTAGGTGCCTGCTTATCTCCATATCATACAACATGTTCAAAAACCCAGCACTGTTTTCTGTAAGTGTGTAGGCAGGCTGTAGTAATAACAACAGTCCTCCTGTATCTCTCCCAGTCATTTCTGTTGAACATTTGTGTAATGATCATGTCACAGTCCTGTCTGCAGGTGTTGCAGTATTTTGGGTGTTTTTTTTTAATTTAAAAAGGGAAGGAAAAAAAGGGTGAAAATGTGGTTTGCAAACATACCATACTGGTCTATACCTTACGAACTGTCACCTTCTGGTTTTCAAACAGCATTTCCCCACAGTGTGAGTCTGTGGGTGTGATGTGAAAGTGTCTGCTCACTCGGTGTTGTCAGAGCTTGTATGAACAAAATCATTTTTTCTTGTTGTAAACTAGTTTGACAGCTCATTTGAATCTGTTGTGTGTGTTTTTAATACTGAAAGTCAGTTCTTGAGAAATCTGATTATCTTAACAATCTGTGCTGTGAACACAAAGCTGTTGTTTCTTTTCTTGTTGTTTTTTTCTCTGTGTAACGGTCTCTAGATTGGCTGTATAACTGAACTTTGTTGCTAAAAAAGAAAAAAAAGTTTTGACAGATCTGACAGGTGGTGATTTATTCTCTTCTTGAACTCTAGAGTTTTGTCTTGTCCGTGAGAAAGAGTGGAGGGAGTGCATTATTCAGTGCTGGACAGAAACTGCAAAGAGTACATTCATTTAAGTGTATGCACTATTTACATTTTGCACTTGTGCTAGTACTTGAAATGTAAGTTCGTATCTCTACTGCACTATATCTGTCTGACAGTTACTGTTGGCGGTAAAAATTTTAAATAAGGTCGGTCTACAGAAGATTCAAATCTTATGCTAAAAAGCCTAAGGATGCATCAATACGATTTAAACCAGAAGCCTTGTGAAATACACACATTCCATACATTTTAAACTACTTAACTATCATATCAAATAAAAGTGTATAAAGTCCATATGTGTCCAAGTGAGCCAGTATGAATATATCCTATGTGTGTATGTATTAAGTGATGCATGTCTGATATCTCTGCAGAACAGCTACCTTTACTATGATCCTTTGGGTAGTTTTTCTCAATAACATTGTTGTACCAGTACTATTATTTGTATTTGTAAAGTATCAAAGCACTTTGATATCAGCTTATCACTGAGCGAGGTTAAGGTTACCACCTAAAAAAAAA